TTACTCCTCATGGAGATGACTCTTGCTGTACTTTTTTTTTTTTTTTTTTTTTTAAAGTATAGCTCTAAGTTGAAGCTGTTTGAATTTTGGTCACACGTTATGCTCTGCTTCCATACCACAAGGCTTCATTGTTAAGATATGTTGAACCTCAGTTTTAACATAAAATATACCTTGGACTAGAGATTTGATTAATACTTCTCATTTGACTAGCTGGATTCTCTGCTTTCTTCCCAATTTCTTTTCAAATTTGCTTTCTGCTTCAAGAAGACATTGGGAATTAAAAAACAGAATTATGTACTAAATTGTCTATTGTGATGTGGTACTGAAATTCATCAGTGAGATTATGCTATGAGAGAATTTGGGACTAGGAAGTCACCTTGCTTTCATTTGAAAAACCTGCCATCAGCTGTAAGAGAGTCAAGACCTGCTTCTAGAATCACTCAATATTTTGGGTTGGAAGGGACCTTTAAAGATCACCTAGTCAAATATCCCTGCAATGAGCAGGGACATCTTCAGCTAGATCAGGTTGCTTGGAATCCCATCCAGCCTGACCTTGAATATTTCTAGGGGTGGGGCATCTGCCACCTCTTTGGGCAACCTGTGCCGGTGTTTCAGCACCCTCATTGTAGATAAAGGGCTTCCTTATATCTAATCTAAATCTATCCCCTCTTAGTTTAAAATCATTCCCCATTGTCCTATCACAACACTAAAAAGATTTTTCCCATTTTTCTTTATAGGCCCCTTTAAGTACTAGAAGGCTTCCGTAAGTTCACTCTGGAGCCTCTCTTTTCCAGACTGAACAAATCCAACTCTCTCAGCCTTTCTGCATGGGAGAGATGCTCTATTCCTCCGATCATTTTTGTGGCCCTCCTCTGGACTTGCTCCAACAGATCCATATCTTTCCTGTTCTGAGGGTTCCAGAACTGGATGCAGTACTCCAGGTAGAGTCTCACCAGAGCAGGGTTAAGTAGAACATAAACAGTGTGGTACTGTGCTCTGTAGATTTTCTTGAAGTCTTCCAAAAGGCAACATTGCAATGTCTCTGTGCCTCCCGACTGAGAGAAGATGGGTTTGGGAAGGAAGAAAAATTGAGGATTTCATTAATTTTGATCTTTCTCTGTCCTTATTTGGATCTTGAAGCCTAACTTCACTATAAATTTCCAATTCTGTCTGACATTTCAGGAAGTTCTGTCTGGAACCCTGAAAGCCAGCACCAGCGGTCTGGGTTTTATGTGACTGCTAATACAGGGTGATCGTAGCGTGGAGGCAATGATACAATTGTGCATCAGGAGAAAGAGTTGGGAGAAGAATGTTTACTATTTATCAACGTGCTGTCTGCTACTCTTATATTTCTTATTTAAAGCAACTGGCACTGCTAGGTTGTCTTTTAACTTAATATGTTGGACAGGCGCAGTGGTTTATTGGATAATGAACAAAAACACCTGTAGCTTTATGTGCATCACTATGCTAATGGCCTCACTTTGGAGATAGAATTTGCCATCGGTTGAGATCTGAATTTGAATCCCATGTAGTATTATTTGACTGCTTTCCACTTCTTTTAACTTAGGATAATTTCAGACTAGTTAGCACAATTCTAAACGTGATTTAGCAGGTCTAGAGTTTGTGCTTCAGAAAGGTGGAAAAACGTGGTGTTACTGCTGCCTACTTTATATTTTCCTCATTACTTCAGAACTCACATTAACAGAAGCTAACTGAAATTATATATATTGCTTTGAAACTTTGAAGTCTAATCAACAGTGAAAATTACTTCCATTTGAATACACATTTGAAAAAGATTGAAAGGATGATAAGTACTTACAGAGATAGTACAAGATATATTTTCCTTGTAAGATATTGAAATAATGTGTAGGATCTTCTTGAAGCTGCAGTGTCATACAGCCGGTGTATGTGTGAGAAAACAATTCTAGGTCAATGGACACCCTTAAAATAAGACCTATAAAGTAGTCAGAAAACATGATCTAGAGTGATTTGAGGATGTTGGGAAGCATTAAAAAGACTCTAATCTTCATAGTGCCTGCAGTGTCTTAAATGATGTTTGATATTAGCCACATGTCCTTTATGTTGTCTTTCCTTCTTTCTTTTAAATGCTAAGAGTAAGTTCATATGAAATTTTCCTTCAACTGTCTCTTAAAAATGGATACAAGTTTGGAAACTGGATATACCCAGAGAGGGTTCTTGATTCTTGTTTTCTTTTATAGATTTGAACCTTTTGTGTGCTCCAGAACTAAATAAATTTTTAAAAAAAAAGGCCCACAGAACTTAGGGGACTATATATTTTCATTACCAGTTTCAACAGCACAAAGTTTTAGAGACACAGAGCTTTATTTTTAGCGTAATTTTTAAAAGAGAATAAGGAAAGTGAGGCACAGAGGGACTAATGTTATGAGTTGCGATTAAACTTAAGAAAGCAAAAAAATCCAATCTTAAAGCACACTATTTGGTCTGTCACTGTCCTTAACTGACCATGTTGATCTTATCAGATGGAGTTTTCACTCCACTCTGTATTTCTTTGCTTTTGCATATTTCAATCCAGCTTCTCATGTCACTGTAACATAGGGATTATTTTTTTTTATTTTATTTTTTTTTTATTTTTATTATATTTTTTTTGTGGTTTAATTGTATGAAGAAATTTGGTGCTGTATTCTTGGAGCTGTACACATGGTTCTGTGCCAAACATATTTGTTTACCGTGGTAATGTCTGAGTTGTAGTGTGCCAGCTAATAAAGGGATTATTTAAGGAACAAGGTGAATGACTAAAACAGATGTGCCAGTTGGGTGAGCCATTAAAAGAATCTTACTTTTCAACTTTATGTAAAGGTTATTTTTAATGCAGTTCCGAGAAATCAAGAGTGGTTGCAAGGATGTTTTTGAGGCCACTGAAAACCACTTGTCTGTTTGCTTGGGGGTCTTTTACTGTGGGCTTAAAATTATAACAATCTCATAATGCAATTTATCCTGTTTATTAATGGCATTATTTTGTCTTTTAGTTGTGGGGAAACCTGCTTTAATATTTTTATAATGTAAAAGTAAATATCTGTAATGTAATACATATATATATTTTCATTCTATGGAAATCTTGGGTCAGTCTGGTGTAATAACACCTTTCACATCTTTTCTCACAAAAGTATGAGGCACTCTGAGTTTACTAGAAAATTAAGCCCTTTGGCTGCTAAGCATTTTAACCAGGATTGATGTACAAAAGTTTTAGAGATAACCATGGTTTAAATGCTGTTTGCCCAGGCATTTAGTCTGTTGTACATCGCATTGTCCAAGTGACTTCCAGAAACTCCAGTGATTCAGTTCTTGATAGGTTTGACAGAAATATCTCCTTTTAGAAATTGACTTTTGTGAATTAGAGATTTGTAATCTTGTTTCTTAGATGCTGAAAAATTCATTTGAGAAGGATCCTGGAGACAGGAGTCCAAAGAGAAGACTAAAAAAAAAGGCAAAAGCATTTGAATAATATGTTTTAAACTTAGCCTTAGCTTGCTGTACAAAATATTTCCACTGAATTTCCTTTATGTGCTTAAGTGTATGATTTGTTTTAAATTAAGCAAATGAGGAGTTACTTAAGGCACACACTGTACTAAACTTGACAATATATTATATGCCATTTTGAATTAAGAGTACATTTTAGGTACTCGGTCCTGAAGCTCTGCTCAGAAGGATGGAACTGCAGTGTATCTGTTTGTTGCCTCTTTCAATATATTTGTCATACCAACTTTAAAGTCATGGACATTTTTTTTTCGTGTTCATTGCAACAGGCAGAAGAAAATTTATGTTCTTTCATGTTTTACTTTTAAGACTGAATAATGAAAATAATATTATCTTGAACTCTCGTCTTCGTGATGGTAGTTACATATGTAGCTATTTACATATGTGCAACCTCTCTGGTATTAATAAAGGCAGAATTTATTCCTTCATTAAGAATAATTGAAATAATGCCATTCTCTTGTTTAGGTTAGTTGTGTTTTGGTTTAATGCTAGTACTGAAAAACTTCCAGAGAGGGTACAGAAGTCAACTTGAGCATTGAGTGTGTGCCCATAAAGACATTTATCAAAGGCTGTCTATTTGTGGATAATGATTGTAATCTGATCTACGCTTAAGTAAAAATGAAGAATTTGCCTCCTGATTAAGCACAGCGTATAAGGATTTCAGGTGGCTTTGTTCGAGGTGAAGGATTCATCCCCTAGCAGCATATTTTGTAATATATTGTAGAGCCATTGCAAGGCAATTAGATCACCTTCCTTGGGTTTTCAGGGCTCTAATAATAATTTTTATTAAAAAAAAAGAAAAGGAAGGCTGTTTTGCATTGTAGGTTTCTTGATTATCTGAGTTTTGGGTGGCATGTTAAAGCACTTAAAAATACTAATCTGACAACACAGTATTATGGTGGAGAATACCATGTCTCCTGTCTGTGGTTGTGCACCAGTCCAGTGAACACATGACATTTCTTTTAGTAATTTTTAAAAAGACCTGCCCTATTAAAATGAGGATGGCTGTATTTATTTAACAAAAAGAAAAATTGGCAGAATACCTAGAGGTTCATAATACCTATCCTCTGTCAATTTTGTCAAGAGTTAGACAGTTTATTTCCATAAAGTTAGTTCCTGAAAAGCTGCCTTTTTTAGCTGTTACTTCAGTTTGCCATATTCCAGTGTGAATTTCAACCCTAGCTTTGTTTAGGATTAAGAAGCTCTCAGCAGGCCTAAGATTTAAAATTTTTGGCTGACCTGACCAACCTCAACATTGAACTGACTGAAAATTGCTTTTTACATAGCTTGCAAATGTTGGCTTCATTCTTGAGGGACCATGATTTGAATGCAATGAAAGGCAGTGTGACTGGATGTAAACTGCGTTAGGTTTATTCTCTTCTTTGCTGTAAAGATGCTTAATAGTTTTTATTTATCATGTATGCTGAAGGGTTTTGATCTTATGCTTGGTTAATCATTTGTTTTCTTCCCTTCCACCACTCCAGGCCATATACACCCATGAAGGGAGCCTTTTCCACTGTGTGGTTTGACAGGTATAAGATTTCTAATGACTGTCCTGAACACATTGAAAGTATTGATTCCATGTGCCAGCAGCTTACAGACTTGATCAATGATGAGATTAAGAATGGCATTGCAAAGAATAGGATACTAATAGGTAAGAGAGATTTATTTATAATCTGTTACTTTAATGTTTTGGGGTTTTTTAATTGGTAAGGTATAATCTACTTTGATTCACTTTAAGAAGTACTTTTTTTTTTAATTTTCTTTTAGCCCTTTTCAAGGATGGAAAAGTATATTTTCCCAAAATGAATTACATTTTGGCGAGTGGAGATGTAGCATGTAAAAAATCATGAACTTTTCCTTGCTACTCTAATCGTTTTGGCTTAAATTAATTAATGGAGGAAAAATGTGCATGCTATATGTCACTAAAGGTTAACACTTGACAACAAGTTAAGTGTTAGCTGTCATAGTTCATATGTATCCATCTTTGTTTGTCTTAATTTCCACAATTTTCCAGTAACTTTCACAGCACTGGGAAATAGGTAGTGGGATATTGAGTCATAGGAGCTGAGGGTGATGAAGTAGCCTGTGTCAGAGAGGGAATGAGAATTCACAAGTCCTTGGCTCCCTGTCCCATCTCTAGACCACAAACTACTTCAGGTTGGGGAAAAAACTCTTAATGTGGGAACTTATAAATTTATGGCCAACTGAGTCATGCCATCAAAATCATGCATAGTGGAACCACTACCATTCAGCCTACATGTTTTCTTGTTACAGCCCCATGTTGCTCTTTGAAGGCCTGTGCTTACTTTCCCTTTCTGGCTCATTGCCCTGGCTGCAAAATGCATTGTTTTGGATGGTTGTCAGCACAGTCTCTTTGATCTGTCTTTCCCATGTTATACCTGATGACTTGGAAGCAGCAGCAGAAGTGCAGGTGCTTTGCTGTACAGTGAGCTGGCAGATTTTCTGAGTACAGATCCAGTGTGCTACTGGGCTTTTCTCTTTTCTCTGTAGCCTTCAAAATTAGAAATAGACTGTATGACTTGTTTTCCAAGTCATAAGCAGAGTAAGGCAGTTGGTATGCACTTATTGTTTCAGTCCGTAGATTCTTTGGAAGTCCCCATCTCTGTGTGTTTGCATTCCTCGTATATAAATCAGAAATAATTATACTTGTTTTGTCAAACTCTTGAGAGCTTTGTGTCCTCACCTGACAGAGACTACATGCAGACATCCTCAGAGTTGAGTCCAGTATTCATTTGTACAAGAAGCAAAATAAGGCAATCCCGAATTAGCTTTGTCCAAAGTACAGAAAAGGACCCATGTGGATGTGTAAGAAACTTGCTAGTGGAAAACTTGTTGTATCACTTATGACTGTACAGTATTAAGTGTTCTTCAACAAGAACTTTGTGCCTTTTCTACACTGGTATTGATAATTAACCAGTGTGTGATGCAGTAGACAATGAAGCGTAGAAGTCCAGTAAGGTCTTTATGCATAAAGATGACGTTAATCATCTTAATTTGTGCAAATAATTGCCTGTCTTCTGGCATTGTTTCTTACAGGAAATTAGGAGTTATGTAAAGGCATTGTGCAGCTTTATAATATTCAGCCTGGAGAAGAGAAGGCTCCAGAGAAACCTTATAGCACCTTCCAGGACCTAAAGGGGCCTAAAAGAAGGCTGGGGAGGGACTTTTTACAAGGGCATGTAATGATAGGACAAGGGGAACAGCTTTAAACTGAAAGAGGGTAGGTTTACATTAGAAATTAGAAAGAAATTCTTTTCTATGGGGGAAGGTGAGACACTGGAATAGGTTGCCCAGAAAAGTTGTACATGCTCCATCCCTGGAAGTGTTGAAGGCCAGGTTGGATGGGGCCCTGAGGAACCTGCTCTATTGGAAGGTGACCCTGCCCATGGCAGGGGGTTTGGAAACAGATGATATTTAAGGTCTCTTCCCAGACCATTCTGTGATTCTATAACCTTTTGATCAAAAGAGAATATGAGTCCAAGTCAGTATGTCTGCACCAAACTGTAATGTACACTAGAAAAACAGAATCAGGTAGCCTGAAATTTTTCTGAGTTTGGGAGATTGGTCTGTATGAGATAATAGAAGATATGGTCACTTGCTGAGAATGCCAGCTAACTAAGTCCTGTTAGATCTTTTTAGATTTCTCTTTTAAAAAGTCAGGAATATCCATCTGGTACAAGAAGATGAGGCTTAAGGAAACAGGTGGGGAGCAGACAGTGAATTTGTAACTGCTGGTACCGTGGAGTTGGAGGAGGCAGCCTTTGTGAGTTTGAAGGGAAAGTAAGATGTTTACAGCAGAGGAAACCATGATGAAATTTTGGTATGAATTCACAGTGCATTCGGTGCTGCTGAATCATGTTGGAGATATGGAAAAAAGAGACGAAATAGTTTAGAGAAGAGACTGGAAAACTTCGGAATCTGTGAAGAGCAGCAGGGGCCTTTTCTGGTAGGTCACAGAAACCAAAGAGCAAAGAGCAGAGCAGTTGTATTAAGGCAGTTACAGGGAATTAAAGGGTTAAGGAGAACTGAGTTGAGTGACCTGTTTTGTAATAAGTGGGAGTTTTAATGAGTGGAAAGAAAACAAAATGAGTATGAGGAGGGTAACAAGATGAAGGTTATGGTTTTATATGGAATAGCAGACTAGAAATTACAGGCTGAGGATGAGTGTCAGATATTGTTAGACGAGGGTGAGCGAGGTGTTAGGCAAGCAGGAAGGTGGGTAGCTGCTGACAGCTCAGAGGTGTGGGATAAGAAGGCAAGATCTGAGGGAACACTGTGCAAAGGTGAGTGAGTGGGAAGAGAGGGGAAGCAGGGGTGGGCTCTCAAACAGTGGAAAATGAGAAGCCCAATGCCTGCTGTTCTGGGGGATGATTCTTCCTCTTAAGCCATTCAGACTTTCCACAAGGCTCAAGATTGTGGGACAGGAAGATCATTGGCTCTGAAAGAAATTATAGCCTGCGTTGTTTGTTTTGATAGCACAGTTCACTCTGAAATCCTCATGTGGCTGCTTGTAGGGCAGAATTCTAAAGCTGAGGATGGAGTCCAGGTTGTGCAGTGCCACTCCTGTCTGTCTTTATCAAGAAAAATGTTGGTGCAGCCTTGTTTTTAACAGCTGCTGGATGAATCTACTTATAAAGAATTAAATTACTTAATTTACTGGATGTAAATGAAGTCTTACTATTAAAACATCCATATCAATTTTCTGTGACAACCAACACACAGTAGTACAAGGCTCATATACCCATTCCTTTCTCCTGATTATTTAATGAGTTGCTTTCCTATTAATACAAGTCTTTTAAAGGAAGCAGACATCTGACCTTGGAGGAGGAAGGAAGGGAGACTAACAGCAATATGTAATTATTCAAAAAATAATTATATCATCCCTAGAATTTGATAATGGTAGTCACCTTTTAGCCAAACATTCTTGTTGAGTTACTCTTCCTGGTCTTCCTGGCTAAAACACTTCTTGCAAATAATCCTGTAAGTAGGCTTATATTGACTTTGGAGATAAAAGTGCATTATAAATTTAGTCAAATACTGACACTTGGAGCTTTAATAGTATCCCTTTTTAAAAACTGGATGTATTTCTTTTTTATAAATGCCTGAATTCACTGCTAAATTAGACGAACAAGCAAATAACCACCACAGTTTGAATTGTGAAACAATAATTCCTTTTTCTATTTAAGACTGAGTTGGTTTTTCTGCTGGTGGTGGTTTTGCTTTGTTTTGTTTTCTTGTGTTTGGTTGTTTTGTTGTTGGTTTTTTTTAACTGCTTCCGTAGTGATAGCGTAAAGTAACTCCACTTAGGTGGAAAATGTCAAAGATTTCAACAATCTTATTCAAGAGTATGTTAGAAGCTCTTGAAAGAAATGGCCACCTCATTTTTGGAGCATTTAGATGGGGCTCACTTTAGTCAACTACTCTTCAGTCTTTTTGTTATTTTTTTTCTTATTTAGCACTACTGCTTATTTCTAATTTAGAACTACTACTTATTTCTAATTTAGCACTACTTTCCTACTTTTACAGGTTACTTTTTGTGTAGCTCAGAAGTGCTGATCCAAGCGTGTTGGTCTCTGCCACTGTAGTCACTCATGTTAGCAGCCAGTTCAAATAAACTCTCCATAACAGTCCTGTAGGTTTGACTGTGTGCCAAAAAACACATGCATGATTCCTGACCCCTTGTACTGTAACAATAACACAAGACACACAACCACTTTTTGTTTATTGCTAGACTTCTTACATAGCTACTGAACCATGGTGGAAGTAACATGAAAGCTCTGTGCTTCTTGTAAATATTAGCATTTCCATCTCTCTCAGTGTGTGTAAGAATGGGATAAGGAAGAAATATCTTGGCTTTGACATTGCAGAGAAAGAGGATTCTGTAGATATGTTAGGATCAAAAAACCAAGAATAAATCGTTAAAGTGTTGGGCAAACTACTTCACATACAATCTTGACATGTTAATGTCTTTGGCTTTTAAACCTTTTGCTGTCAGTCACCCTACCTTGTATCTTCTATGAGGTACTTTCTGCCTTGTTCTCACGAGTAAATTCACAGGTTTATATTGCCTTTGTCACTGCAATTCAAATGAGATTTCTCTTTCCAGACCTCCCATTGCATGGCTTTGTGGTTTATTTAAATTATGCCTGAGATTCTGGGCTCAAAGCAGTATTGTTAGTCTCTCTGCCCCATATTACCTGCAACATTTCATTAATTTTCAGTGAAGCAGCGTAAATTTGCATTGCATTTATAACTTCGGGTAAAATATTTGCTCCTCTTGGGTTCTTTTGTACCTCAACTGGCCACTTATTTTTCTTTTGAAGCTCTACTACTCTAGTTTGCTCATCAGGAAGTAAAAAGAGACATTAACAAATGAATGTTTCTGTTTCCTTCATAAGTCTTTCAGTAGGAGGTACAAAGGCTAATTTTGACCAGAGAGTTAGATCCAGCACTGGTCACTTTGTTTCCCAGCATTTGACCGTGTCCATATTAATGTATCTAAAAACGAGGGACTCTGAAAGGATGCACATACTCAATTTTGTTCTGTGTTGTGAATGACAGGCTTAGCAAATATTAGTGAAGAATAGGAGTAAATAACACTTACAGCAGTAAACCCAGAAATAATTCGAT